GACTGCGACGTTCGAGTTATTCCATTCAGTTAGCAACCGTCAAAACTGTTTTAGCTCCAAGTACGTCAGAATGTTTACACTGAGGAAAATGGGCTGATCCTTCGACCTTATTTTCTATTTCCATTCCCAGGCTCCAGCCAGTCGTTGTAATGGTGACAAGCTGAGATGTCGCCGTCTGATTAGCTCTTTTTGAATCCCCAAGGACATGGGCGTAAAAGTGGAAGCCAGCCGAATGAGGGTTTTATGTGTACTGAACCCGGAGTTGCTGTTTCAGCAAGTCCCTGTGGGAGAGGCGACAGTTGCTTATAAGTGATTTTGAAGCGAGTTCGAGTGTTGCATGATGGGTGCGTTTAATTACTCGAGGAGTGTCGAGCATTGAGGTCACCTGCTACGTGGCCACAGGGTGACGCACTCCCGTGTGTGTGCGAGTGAATATTTGTCCATCGGTTTAAGGTTATCTAGTGGGGACGGTCACCAGCGCAGACACATGACCTTGAGGCTGCTGACATTGAACAAGGAGTCATTGTTGGCTGTCGGCCAGAGGAGCGATTCTTCAGGACAGTCTGCAGGGTTATGCTGACAGTCAGTTAGGCTGACTCCTAACATCAGGGTCCGAGCCAGTTAGTAGACTGGTGTGGAGAATAGGCGCAGCTGCTAACAAATCTAATGACCTCGTCTACGCGTACCACACACACGACCTAGCCCCCAAAATACAAGCATCAGGATTTTAGACAAAAAGGGAGGGGGCGGGTGAGCGACTCACATCTGACAAGGGTGAGTTCCAGGGGGCATGTTGAGCAAGAGCCACTTTAGACTGAGGATCATACCACCAATCAGCCAAAAACACACATTGGGATGACTGCGAGGTCTGAGGGACCACATACAGGAAACACAAAACCCGGTCAGCACTGCAGATGAATTAGACTACTAATATGGCGGTTCCGGCCCCATGCAGGTGAGGATGGTATAACAGGCGTACAAAACGTCAACACTATAGAAGAGTACGCTTAAAGGGGTACTCAAGTGACAAGAAGAGTATGAATAAGAGGTGGAACTTGAAAGTATTACATAAAGAATAAGGAAAGGAAGCCCTTTGTGTCTTATATACCCAGATAACTCAGCCAGGTTCCACCACCAGGCTGGATAATGTTGACATTTGAAACTGGATCTTACTGATTATAAATAATAAGCATCCAAGACTTAATTTATTGACACAGAATTCGACCTTTTAGGCAGAATTTTAACTTTGATATGACTTCAGAAGTTTGGAGTTTGCGCGAGGTGTTGTGGTAAGACTAACTGATGGCGAACAGTAAGGCAGAAATTGCTATCTCCTTATCTTTTCTATTTTTGTCAGTCAGACTTCCTGATTCTCCATCGCTCATCGTTGTATCCTCGTTTCTAGAATGAACATCGAGAAGGAGAAGTATAAATCCCCACAGGAAGTCGTCAAGCCAGACCAGAGGAATTGACGCTAGTTAGAGTGAGGTGAATTGCGCCCGCAGAGGTCAGTGTAGTTGTCACTATGATGGAAGAAGGACTGACAAAGCCCTCTCTCCAGGTACTTGTGAAAGTTCGGTTCATTAACCACCACCACCACCACCACCACTACCACCACCACCACCACCACTACCACCACCACCACCACCAATTCCATTATCACTAAAGGGAGAGATAAGCAACCGTCGACAGGTCCGCAACTTGTGCACGCACCTCTTGGACTTTTTGCACCAAATGAACCGTAATTGTGAGCTGACAGCCCTTTCCAAACATTTCCGACAACTGTCAAGTCAGTCTTGTGAACTAGTAGGCACGAAAACCTGCCAAAAAGCCACTCTGGTGGTAGGAAGCACGCGAACGGAAAGGAGCCAGGTAATTGTGCATGTGACAGAGTGCACAAGTTCGCGTACACTAAAAACCACGTGTTCGAGAAAAGGCAACGTAGGTGCAGGCGGATGGGCATTTTACTGGATTGGTTTCCCCTATGCTTATACACTGAGATTCAAGCTTAACCTGCAATGGCACAAGGTTCCTCCCGAGTATCTGACAAACTGCATTGGTTTGGAGTTTTAAATCGATATTTTCATAAAGATGCATCGGCTGAACTACTGAAATCCCAGACTAGAAAGTAAACAGTATTTAGACTCGACTTTTAATACTAATTCCCGCATACCATACTTTCAAACTACAGTGAAGTCTTGGGTAACGAGTTTAATTCGTTCTGGCACCGAGCTCGTCGTGTGAAAATTAACCAATCAAATTGCACCAGTTCACTGATTGGCTGCGGGCGACCGAGGACCCGCGATCTGGAAGCAAGACTTATCGGGGGACGCAAGCACACACACATGCATTGACGGCTTGTTAACTGCGTCGCGAGTAGTATTGTCGACAAGCAGAAGGATCCCCCAAATCACAAGTCAAGCAGGACAGTGTTGGTGGACAGAAATTTACTGACTGCTCTTTCGGCTGCCGCCAATCAGATGAGGCGGAAGTATTGAGTGACATCAAGCGTACGCGCGTTTGAAGCAGCGAGCCAATCGATAATATTTGAAAAGCTGACGCGTGTTAATTAATCACGCGGGATGCAAGTTATGGCAACCGAAGAGAGGATGACTCGCGCGCACTTGGACTAAGTGGCAGACTCCTACAACTGACCGAGAGTTTCTCAAACGAAATACATTTTCTGCCAGTGGCTCACTCGTTATCTGAAATGCTCGTAGCTGGAACTGACAATAGGCTCTAGGCGTCCCTCAAAGCGACCTGCATGGACCTGGGGGATTACATGGTGAAGCTAAAAATACCCTTGGTACGTGGTAGCAGGAAGATAAAGTCACACCAGTCACCGCGACTTATTAATCTCCGGTCGACTGGGCTGGGACTTTTAACAGCTAGATGCGCACACTTTTCACATCATAAATAAGCCGGCGGGCCTGGGGAATATGCCGACCAGCTAAATGTCAGGACATCGAAGATTGTCAGCAGACAGGTTAACTCGACTGCCTTTCGGGTCAGGCTGCAACAGCCCCTAATTGGCACGAGCTGATGTGAATTCAAG